TTGCGCCGGCCGCCCGACTTCGACTACAACTCCCGCAGGACCGCGCCGCCGCCACTGCGCCTGCGCGCCGCCATTTTGTAAAGGGGTGCGGTCTCTTCAAAACCACTGCGCGGCAAAGTCCGGAGGAGCGGTCGTTGTGGGGTGGGTGTGTCTGGGGCTTCTGGGTCGGGCTGGGAAGATTCAGGGTGTTGCGGAGGGGCCTGTGCTGTTTTGGGCTTTTCTTTTCTCCGCGCTGACTGTTGCTTGTGAGGGAGAGGGGGTTGGGGGCGCCTGCCGCACCCGGGTCTTCCCCGCCGGACCGTGCGGGCCCGCTCTGCCTCTCCTGGGGGTGTTGTGTGGGGCTGAGGCCCCGGGAGGTCTCTGCCAGTGGAGCTGCCCTCGGACCGGTGCTTAGCCCGGCTCCTCCGCTTTCCGGGGAAAACCACTTCGGCCTTGGAAGAGCTGGTTCCCACTGTGCCTTTTTCATACAAGTCCTTATGCTGCTATTGCATGATGATTCTTGTATGCATGTGATGTTGGACATAACAAAACCATTGATCTTTGTTCCTTATTACAGCACCTGCTTCCTTAAAAGATTTTTCAAATGGGATTTTACCTACAGGGGTGCAATAAGCGGTTAGGTTTCTTTTGGTGAGCTTGACCACCCTGGGTACAGCATTTAGAAAAAGCCTGCGCTTCCAATTCTTCTATTTACAGTTTGTGGGGTTACAAAGGTAGCTTGGGTCAGGTTGACTAAATTGTGTAGATAAGGCAATTCTAAGTGCTCCCTTGTGGCTTGTAAAATTCTTATGCTGTGTGTACCCATTCTGAGTATGTAAAAATACCTGCAAGGGTAATGGCTGCCTACTCTTGTTACACTGAGTTGTTAGTTTTTCATACTGTCTAAGCTACTTTTACTTCTGGTTTTTTTTTGTGCTGGTTCTGAAACCAAAAATTACAATACTTTTGTGTGTCTTTGCTGAATTTTATGTTTGGTGACAAACATCAGCAATTCTTACATGAAAGCAGGTTCCTCTAGAACTAGCAAGGAGCTGGATTTTCTTGCTTTTATTTTTTTTTCCCCCACTACTAAAGTTTCAATATACAATTTCCCTATTGTTACCTTTTTTCCCCAGAACTTTGATTTTCTGCCTTTTACTTTTCTAGTGGTGACACACATATATGACAGACTTATTTGAAAATCAGCAAGTTAAATAGATAAATAATTTTTTTTAGGAAAATAATAAAATTACATAACAAAAGTAAAAAATCCTACATATGTTATAATTTATGAGAAGACATTTCAGTGCTGATGATTGCTTGTGGTTTTGTTTCTTTTTCCATTTAGATTGATTAAAAAGATGAGTGAAGATTCTAACAAACCTGGATAAAAACTATGACAAGCTCAATAAAAGAAAGTGCCTGCTCTCCTGATTCAACAGTATCTTCTCTTTTAACAAGCTATAGCATTGACAGCAGTAATGTATACTCAAACAATTTGATTCACTACAAGGACAAGCTTTACACCTCTGCATCTGAGGCTTTAGAGGCTTATATTGAAGATTTTGATTTAAGTCTCACATCCTCAGAAATAAGCACTGGAAAAATCTGCGTATGTCAAAGCACTCCCAAGCAAGTTAAGTCTTCAAAGCATCATGCCAAAGAAAAACATGGTATGTCTTCTGCAAATACGCCTTTTAATAAATTTTGGTGTTCGCTGTTCTTTTTCTGTTTGTTTTCTTTTGTTTGCATTGCCAATATTATTGCAACTCCTTGTCTCACACCAGGTGTATTTTGTTGAAGAAAATTTCCTGCACAACTGCTTGCAAGTCTTTATGGTATAGTAGGTGATGCTTGGTCATAGCTAGCAATATTTGTCATTCTCTATAATGCTTTTTTGTAAATACTTGGTGGATTGGTGAGAATTCATGACCACGATCATAAGTGCAATAATAAATTCCAGAGCATGGACTAAAGATTGTATTTTCTTTATGTGAGTATATGTAAAAGACAGCATAAATCACTGTTTAAACTTGTGTCTTGAAAAAAAATCTGCTTCCAGAGCATGTAACATCAGAATCTAATTAATTGAACGAGTTCCCTTAAACAATGCTTTGTCTTAAAGCAGAATTTGCCTTTTATCTGTTGTTTTTTATGGAATGTACTTTTGGGTCTGAAGTCTAACCCAGCTGGGTGATATATATGGGTTTGAATTGGCTTTTGTAATTATTAGTTAGCTTGAAAAAAAATAATTGATTATATGAACTTTTATGAGAAGAATACCTAACTGTGCTTGAGCTAATTTAGACTGCAAATGCTTTGTCCATTGTATCTAAAATAAAAAAAGTCCCAAATACAGGAAAACTGCACACCTGAAAAAAGAGATTTGCGTGGGTTGCATTGACATAGACAGTTATGGTTATATATTGTATTATTCAGGGCTTTTTTTTGTCACCATAGCCTATAACCTTCTAGCTTCACACCTTTCCTTTTTTCTTGTATGAGAGCTATTTTTTAGCTGTGTTTAGTTTTTGGTTTATATTTTTCTAATGCAAACTATCTTCTACCTATGTTTAATTGATTTCACAAACAAAAATAAGCATTCTGATTATCACTAAAAATGAGAAATTGTTAAATAAAAGACATCATCCCCTCATATTTTACTAACATTACTGTGTGGAGGAAGTGTCACTACTAGGACTGAAATACTAGGGATGTATCTGCAAAGTAGACAATTCTGAATGTGCAACCAATAATGGACTGCAGAATGTTGATTTGTTTCTCAATTAAACATTAAAGAAAATACTCACAGCTGTAAATGTTGTTTACTATGAAAGGAGGGGTAACTTTTGACTGGTGAGGTTTTTATCAAGATTCTGACTGGAAATAGAATCATTCTTGCAAGAACTGTAATTCAGTACACACACACCACCACCACCCCCCGCCTCCCCACACCCCCCGGTAAATAATATATTTCAGCTTTAAATCATTACTTCATGTTAGGTCTTGCCAATGTATACTTGTAGTATGCTTGAAGCTTAGCAATTCATGTAAAATATCTTTGTTTTTCAGCACTGGGTGATTTTAATCAGCATGTAGGATTGGGTTCTCTTGCTTCACCCTCTCGAAAGCAGACTGAGTGTGACCCAGACTTGATTAGCCTTGCGACGGATGATCTGTTAGCATTTCCAGCAGATGGATCACTGCCCTTTGTCCAGCACAGTCCTCTTAAATCAAGGTATAAAAGTAGTGAGTGGAACAGGCAGTCACTTAAAACATCTTTCTGCCCTTGCCAAACCTCATCACTCAATATTGAAAGCAGTTGCAGTCTCCAGGAGCATGGAAAAGCTGTTGCTCACCAGAATCCACACAAAGACTTCAGGAAAAAGAAATGTGATGTGTATACACCTGGTAGGTATGATTCTGTCTCCTCTAAAGGAAGTTCAAGACCCTTGTATTTTGAAGAGAAAGTGTTAGAGTTCTCCTCAAAGAATTATCCGAGGTGGCTTACCAGTCAGAAGTCTGACTTGAGTGTATCAGGGATAAGTAGTATTCCCAATTTTCACTACCCAGTCTGGCTTAAGAGTTACAACCTTTTTTATGATTCAACTAAAGAAAGTGATGGTCAAAATTTGAATATACAAGGCAAAGCTTCCTCTTCACAAACTTTTAAGATCTTGAAAAGAAGACACTCTGTAGATAAAGACAACTCTAATTTTTTTGAACAAAATGGTTGCCTGGATCTGAGAGGTGATAACAAAGTAGAAGAAAGTTGCAGCTGTGACAGTCCAGATGTGTGCTTCCCATTTGATAACTCATTTTTGAGACACACTAAAAATCCATTCAGAGGTAACTATATTTCATATAATTTGTTTTTTAATTTTGAGGATATGTGTATAAAGACATTTTTTTAAACCAACACTTTGTAGCTATGTTAGTCCGACTGCAGTGTACAGTAGATTTATTCTCTTCCATCTTTGACAAATGACTCAAAGCATTTACTAGTAGTTGACCAAGTTAAATGGCTTTTATACTGTAAGTTTTTGTTTAGAAATCAATATTTAAGCATTCCTTTTACAGAAAAGGGTTTATTACAGTGGGATATTTAGTTCCTTACTGCAAGATAATTCCATAAATATTTTAATAGACTTTTAAGCATTAAACTATATGAAGTATAACCTTGGGGGAGAGAGATTCCTAAACATAGCGTAAATGAACCTGTCAAATCAGTAAAAAATGCCGTTTATTGTGCAGTCTTTTCCTCTACACAGCAGGAGATATTTGTAACCCATATATTTAGGTACGCCTAAAGTGCCTTCAGTTTATGTAAAGACTTTCTTTGGGAATCTTTCGTGTAGCTACTACTTTACAGCATGTCATCACTCTTCAGGAGGGGGTTCCTCCCGTGGTGAAGCACCATCTTTGTATTATGAAATATCAGCAAGATTTGCTTTGATATGAGAGATTAACATTTCAAAGTATTAATTAGCTTCACTTATAAGATTATTAATTTAAAAAGAAAAATATTTTTTCTTTGTTATGCAAATATAAATACCTATCTCTCTCTTTTTCTAAGAGTTTACATATAAAAACTAAGTTAAAATGTTGTTTATGTTGTGAATTCAAAGCAAAAAGGTGCCAGATATATACAAATGTCTGCAAATACCTTTCTAGTGTATATGCATGATGAACTTTAAATACAGGGTTCTATCTCTTTTTCACACAGAAAACTTTACCTATCATGAACAAGCTAGGTACAAAAAAAATATACATGAGAATATGTCTGTCATTTTGAGTGCTTGTCTCAACCTGTTTTTAAATGTGAATCCTGTATGTGATTGTATATGATTTGCATGTATATGTTGCATGATTTCTCTCCTAGGGTTCTGTAAAAGCAGCTATTAGATAAACTTGTACAAAACAATAAGAAAACTAACCTAAGAACTTACAGTATTAATAAGTAATATTTAGCATCATATTGTGAGTTAATTCTATTTTTTTATAGCATGAAAGCATGTTAAAAATATTAAATAATCCTGAATGCTGCATATGATACTTGTTTTACATAAGTTAGGAAAAGAAATGCTTGACTACTTCAAATGTTCTGGCTAGAACCTTGCAGATCCCATTGGGTACTGATGATTTAGATGCCATACTGCCATACCAAGATAACCAAAGGAGTTGTATTGGGTCTATACTCTCTGTAAAATATTTCCAGTGCTAATTCATCTGTAGTAATTTTCTTTGAGTATTACATAAAATGAGAAGTAATGTGGAAATAATGCCCTTGGAGAGGGTTGGAGACACTGTGTCCTTATTTTTTAGCAGACCAGATTGAGCTACTTACCTTGAAGGCTGACAGAGGTCTAGAGACTTCAGTTGAGGATTTGTCAAATAATCTGGAAAATGGTGGCAGTCCTTCTACAACAGATATACTAGGAGCAGAAAGATCATGGGAAAATGCTCCAGGTGCTTTGTAAGTAAACATATATTTTGGACTAATTTATTTGTGAAAATGCATAATGTATTTAGTTGCTTTTGTATATAGAATACAAGTAATGGTGCTGTGGCATGTACATAAAGAAAGGATTTACTATTAGATGTCTAGCTAGTGCTAAATGTTTGGTATTTCAAGGTCAGGATATTGGTGCAGTGCTTTCCCTTTTTCGTTGACTTGAAACGAGTGCTATCAATATTACTTATTGTTGCCTTTTAATAATAGCTTTAAATAGCAATGATATGTAAAAAACGTTTCAAGAGAAAAATTATTTAATGGAGCTTAAATTGACAGTTTTACTAGTTTACAATTAAGAGCTTATGAAAAACAAGTCAATGTGGGAAGTCGTTTTTTTTTTTTTTTAGAAAAAATGGTGTGGCCTTGGGAATTTTTGGAGCAGTCTTGGGAGTGAAATTTCAATTGTTCAGGAACTGAAAGGTTATTTCACAGGATTAAAGAATGCTAAAAATCCATACAAGAATTTCCTACAGTTTTTAAGAAGAAGCTAGGTGTATATGGCTCTGGGTGTTTTCTCTGTTTTACCCCAGAAGATTTTGAACTATTGTTTAATTTTAGCAATATTTAACAGGTGAGTATAAGTCTCAAACTGCAGAAAAAAACCTGCGCACGTGGTAATAGAAGTGGTACTATTCATGCTCCTGTTGAGAGAGAGGCCAATAATCTAACCTCCTGCTAGCCACCAGAGTACCCTCATAGGAGAACATCACTGGAAATCAGGCTTCATTAATACCTGTTTCTGTAAGACCACTAGCTTTGAATTAAAATACCTTAGGAACTGTAGAAGAATTAGAGGTCGGTAAGCAGAAGGTAACTATTTTTCTTTAGAAGGTCAATATTAATGGAGGAATACCAGGTGTAAGAAAAACACCCATGTGTAATAAATTATAGCTAAGAAATCCTTACCTTGCCTTTTTTGTTTAGTTGATTTTTATGGCTACCCAGGTTTTGATTATACTGGCAAAACTGGAAAAAACAGTGTTTCTCTCACATACACCAAAGTGCTGACAGAACTACTCAGTGCCCCTTTGGTGTTGCATTAATACAGTATATCTCGTTTCATCACAATGACTATATGCTAAAACAATTCTTTTAGTTTATAAACCTGTTGTTATTCTCCATTGCATGTTTAATGTTGGTTTAGCAAACCACCAGTGCCTGTGTGCTGTGAGGACATGGAGAATGCTCTACCATTCCCCAAGGCAGATATCATACATAAATTCTTGGAAGACTGTTTAAATGACAAAAATAAGGTCAGTGAAATTGCATATTTATTTTTGAGAGTGCCCAAAATATCTAAGACTGGTAAATATTAGAAGGGGGAATACCTGTAAATTGTTTTTTCTTCTTCTGTAATACATGAAGTAGAAAGTCTAACTGCAGTAGTTTAGTCATAGTTGAGCAAGATGAGTTCATACAGTTATTAAATCCTATAATCTAACCCTTGGTCACAATTATGATTAAGAAAGTATCTAACTATAAAATTCTTTGCTTAGTAATAGTTTGACTTTTACACTCCATGTTTTGTTTAAATAATTTTCCTGCCTCGAGTAAAGGAAGAAATTTTTTTGTTACTGATGTATTAAAAACTACTAATTTCCTAGCCTGGTTGATGTACTGTTAGGTATGAGCCAAGCTGAAGAGGTATGTTAAGTAATATATTTCTTGTTACTTATGCCCTTGCACTGGAACTGGATCATGGATTGAATTTACTCTTTTGGTTAGTCATTATTTTATTCCCATGCTTACATACTAATCACCTTCTTGGTAGTCTTAATATTGTTGAGTCTTTCATTTTGCTTGTACGAACTCTCTATCTGATTCTCAGCTAGGGAGATGAGCACTGAGCCCAGTATTCTAGTTGAAAGGCATACTATTAATTTATGTACTGGTATGTTTCCTTTACTTTCTGCCTTACTGTTGTTGAATCTTACCTGCTCTAAGATTCTGTTTTCCTATCTTGTAGTAAACACAGGACAAGTAAACACAGTCTTGTTTGTCACCTTGAGTTCATTTGCTTTCTTGATTATAGAATGAGCAGATATCATATAACTGCTAATTATATGAATTAATCTGTGTTTATCAATAAGGAAGCTTACTTGCTCTGTCAGTTATGAAGTGTTGAAACATGTTCCAGCACTGCTGTCATAGCATTACAAGGACTGACAGTCTTAATATTCTTGAATTATTTTACATAAGCCAGGGCTGAGGCCTTTCTATGTTGCTTCACATCTTCCTAACAATGTATAGTGACTTCACTGACTATACAGTGGCATAAATTAAGATGAACCAGTGTAGCACCATAAATGTACAATTTATAATAAACCTTTAAAAAATAGGTAAACACTCATAGAAACTAGCCTTTAAAATGCTTCAGGGAAAAGTCAAAATTTGTTTGGTTTATTTTGTTTTATGTGCACTACAAGATCAAGAAATTCTCTGGGTTTTGGTTTAGGAAAATACTTTTTCTGGATGTCATCATCACAGGCCCCTTGAAGCTTTGAAGCTAATGTTGTTTAAACTTCAAGCAATTCAGGGAAGTGTAAGCCAGAATGAAACTGCTGACCAGAAGGAAGAGTTTGAAAAAGTGAGTAATCAGTTTCCTGATGTTGTATCTTGTCAAAATCAATGTGCTGTGTACTCTTTTGAGAAGAACTGTCAGTCCTTTTATAGACTTGGTTTCCAGTCATCTGAGAAAGAGCACTGCCAGCAGATTCAATCCGGTTTGCATCAGGAGCACACGCTCAGGACTGCTGTGACCTAAATCCCCCGTGTCATGTTGCTGCTGTTGCACACCGGAGTCTCAGCGCTACCTTACGCTGCGGTCTCTCCCGTTTGCAGGGGCCCTGCGTGGCAGGTCAGGAAGTCGGCGGTGGCCCCCGCGGTGCTGCAAGAAAGCAGTACTTGTAAGCCAGGAGATGGCGACATTGCAGGCAGCCCTGCCCGGAGAGAGCAGCCTGTGTGCTCTCCTCCGCCACTAGCAATAGCTGTGTTCTGGGAGAAGTTGTCTTCTGGTAATATCCCCGATAATTCTAGGCTTTCAGGGGCACCTACCAAATTTTTAAAAAGCCAGACATTCTCAAATGTTCAATCCTTGCCTCCTTTGGCATCAGTGAATTGGTATTTTGTGGCACTTTTGTTTCAAAATTATTTCATAGATTTTATTATCTCTTTACCTTTTTCATAATGTTGCTTGCATACAGCTCTTAAACCCTATGTCCTACACTCAGTAGTGAATGAAATGCTCCATATATATCTGGATCGGGCAGGCTGTGGGAACGTGCCAACAGGAACCTCAGGAAATTCAACAGGGGCAAATGCAAGGCCTTGCACACAGGAAGGAAGAAACCCAGCAGCAATACAGGCTGGGGGCTGCCTGGCTAGGGAGCTGCTCTGTTGCAAATGTCCAAGGGATCTTGATAGGTCCAAGATGAACATGAGCCATCAGTGTGCCCTGGCAGCAAAGGAGGAACAGCAGGGCCTGGGCTATGTAGACAGGAGCACAGTCGATGGATCAAGAGAAATGATTGTCCCTTTGTATCCCTCAGCACTCACTAGACCACATCTATAATACTGCATCCAGGTTTAGGCCCCTCACTTGAGGAAAGACATCAATAAGCTGGTGGAGGAGCACCTAGGTTATTGGAGGCTGCAGCACTTACTTATGGGCAGGAGCTGAGAGAACTTGGCCTGTTCAGGATGGAGCATTTGTTTTGCGGAACCTAATAGAAGTTGTCCTGCACTTATGAGGAGGGTATCAAGAAGATGGAGCCAGGGTCTTCATAGTGGTACATGGTAGAAGGATGAGAAATGGGTATGAATTGAAACAGGAGGTTCACACTGGACATTGAGAGAAACTTTTGAACCCTGAAGACAGCCAAGCACTGGAACAAGTTGTTCAAGAGATCTTATGCAGTCTCCATCCTTGGAGGTTTTCAAGGTTTGACTGGATAAAGCCCTGAGCAACCAGCTGTAACCTAATAGCTGCCTTTGCTTTGAGCAGGAGCCCACCTCCTGAGGTCATTCCCAACCTGAATTACTTTATGATGCTATAAAGTTATTGGCAATGCTTTCCAATGCAATGTGCTATAAAAATTCTGTGCTTTCTGTCATACTCACCTACTTTGCCTCAGTTAACATTTTTTTTTTTTTAAGCTTTCTGAAAAAGCAGAGGCTGAATTAAATCTGTGTGACAGTGAGATAATTCCTCTTACTAATTCTATTCAGAAGTAAGTGACTTTCTTACTTTTCACTGTTTTCAGAAAGTGCGGAAAAGGAACGATAAATTAGCCGAGTTGTCATGTGATCTGAAAACTTTAAGAACAAGCCAGTAGTGAATAATGAAAAACATGGCAGTTCATGGAGCAGAGAGATATCTAGTGAATGGACTTTAAAATAATCAGATTTGGAGAAGTTTGTAATACGGGACAAAAGATTTTCTTACTTTTTTCACTACAGTGGAGAAAAAAATTGCTAGAAACCATATTTCATTAATGAAATCACCAGCTTCCTACTGAACAGTTCTAAGTGACTAAAGAAATAATAAGTTTGAGAAGGCAGAATGGAAACAGGCTTTTATTATGTAGAACATTTGTTTCAACAAAACTCAGTGTTGCAGTACAGTTTTATACTGTAATGTAAAATTCAAATTTTTTTAATTTAAAAAAATGCAGTAACTTTCAGTATTTATATGCTATGTTATGCCATAATGTTTTGCAGTGTGTTAAATACCCATTCTGTAATAATTTTATAGAAACTGTGTGTTTGCATGAGCACCTGTGTTTGAGAAGATGTAGTTAAAATTTCAGTTCACAAAGTGTTTTATTATTTTAAAAAAGTCTTAGTGTGTTTTATAATCTCTAAAACAGAATAAGTGGAACAGACAGAAAGATGTAAACTGTGTACAGTACTATTCAAACTCTTAAGCTATTTGTAAGAAATCAACATCATTTTATATTAAATGTAAATAGTAATATATACACTGTTGTTAAAGTCTTCATTTTTCCTAATCTAGGGCTTTACACCATTTGTCACATCTGAAAAGTCTTGTTGAAGAGAACAATAACCAACAAGAGCAGACCGATGATCCTGAAGAAGATAAACAAGAGGGAAAGAATAATCTGTGAAGCTGATATCTAGGAATATTTTAATACTGTGTAATTTAAATAATTTGTCAGCCTGACCACTGTTCAAAATTTTTTTGAAAGCTGAACCAGTGCATGTTCTCAAAAATGTTGTTGTCAGTGTTTCTGTACATACTCGTTCTTTTCATTAACTACTTCAAAGCTTAATTGAGTATTAGTGCTTCCAGTAGGATCTAACAATATGTGACAAAAGATACCGCTTTTTAAAGAATACTTAATTAAAATAATGTGAATCTTTTCATGGAAGAATCTCTGTTTATAAAAATAAAAAAAAAAAAAGCTATTTGGCCAGTTCTAGTCATCACTTCATTACCTGGCCTGTTAGGAACAGGGAGAGCTCAAGATCATGTGTAAAGTTAAGTGTAGGATTAGCAATAATATGATCACATTATATTTTAAGTGCTTTCTTTCTAACAGGACTTGAGTTGATGTAATTGGATGCTCCTGGTTCCCTGACCACAAACTTACCAACTATATTGTATCAAAAAGTGTCTGAAGTCTTTTTGAGTTGTCCTCCTTTCACATCCTAGTAAGGGATAAAATTCTTCAGTGGGCATAAATAGGTAGAGAAGTAATAGAAAATGTTTTTCTCAGCATAATTGAATAGAATTAACTTGTGAAAGCCACTGATAAGTACTGGAACTTGTGCAGGGGAGGGAGGAGTAGGACTTACCCCATTTGACAACACCAAGTTGAGAGACAAAGAGAAAAGCTGTAAGAAATGATCTGGGTTGTGAATTGAAGTATATTGAGCGAACATTTTGAAAGAAGCCTTTTGTACCTCTTCTGAGACCTATGTAATGTCACCTAGCATTTAATACTGTCAGTAAACAGAATAGGTATGGCAATATGCCTTTCTAGTGAGCTGTTTCCTTTTAATCTGTATATTTGTAGGTACACATGAGCAAGCAGGTACCTGAGCATGTACTGATTCTGAGAAATTAAATAGAAAACAAGAAAAAGTAGAAGGAAGATTAGCTATGTATTTTTCCCATCTTCCTGTTAAGAATTAGTAAGTAGAGACATAATAAATGACTTCATTTTATGACTGTCATGGCATCATGAGAACATAGGTGGATCATAACTAATATGTAATAATGTATTTCAGGCAGATTTTATTGGCCTTTCTCAAATGCTAAGAGCTATATCTAAAATCAGGGTACAGGCAATGAAAGTTTTTTAGAGGAGTAATTTCTTGTAGAAGCTTTTATAAAGCACTGCATTGCTGAGACAGGAATGTACAAATGGACTGATACTGTGGGTATAACAGTTGTCTGTATTAAGACAATAATTTAACAACAATTGTTTTTAACAACAATTAAGACCTGTTTGCCATAGGTGATTTTATCAAAGGAATTCAGATGTGAAAGGAAAGATGAGGGTTTTTTTCTGACATCACACATGTCTGAGTGTGGATCACAATGACTTTGCTCTACTTTAGCGCTACTCTGGATGCTCTGTGTATGCTGCATGGTTTGAGCTAGTACACCTAACCTATCACAGCTCTCCTATTTCTGAAGGGGCTTGTGCCTATAGAGCTCACAGTAGAAAGGTAGATTTATTCATCCAGGTGTACAGATACTCCTTGGGGTGCTGGTAGCACAAGCAAGGTGGACTCAAAGCAAGACTTGATGCCCTGAGAGTACTTAGAGGTTATACAACACACCCCTTGTATCCTGCTTGCAGGGGTGCATAGGACAAATGTGAAGCACCCCCTGCTCCCTTAGAACTTCTCTTGATGTTAGGGCAGAGTTTGTTTGGTATTTAGAAAGTCTTTTCCATTAATTGCCCCTCGGCGAATCGTCATACCTATCCATATTTGTGAGATTCCTCATTCTTTGGAGGGTTTTTTTATTAGTGTCCAGATATGTCTTCTTTATCAATTTAATGTACTTTGGAAAATTTCAGCACAACTTTTTTGTTGTTTTTTTATGGCATGCAGAGATAGGTAACCACTAAAAGTATTGTTGACATCATTGACTATTCATATTTACTAACTTCATATTGTTCAGGTATGAAAGGCTTTCATCATGGACAAGGTCTGCTGTGTGAGGTACTGTACCTTAGGAATATGCAAGAAATGAGTGATGCTTTCTAGCTGTGAACAATAGAAATTCAGATAAGAATAGAATAAAAGCAGCCCCGAACAAGAAAACACCATTGGTCAGTAGGTGGAGACAACTGGTTTCACATAGAAATGATTTTTTTTTTAAATGTTATCAAAATTTTTATGGCCGTTAAAGAGCATTTAAAAGAGGGATTTGATCCCTTATGTATCAACAGAAAAAAAGTAACTTTTTGATTGTATACACTGGTCAGTTCTTGCAATTATAGCTGAAATTTAGTTTGCTTGTAAGTTAGAATAAGAAAGTTGCCACTCAAGAAAAATAACTGAATATGTAAATCAAGTACTAAACAAAAGTAATTGCCATATCAAAGATGTCAGTGATGTTCTTGGCCTTGAACTTAGACCAGAGAAAAGGAATTTTATTGAACTACAGTATTGCATAGTGACAGTGGGAAAAACAAAAAGGCAGGCAGAAAGGCAGAGATAGGACTTGGAGGAAATACTAAAATAAAATTGCAGAACTAGATAAAAGGAAAGTCACCGTTTCTCGGCAAGTTACAAGAACTGTTTGCTAACGATGTACACAAGTATTTGTGATCCTATGTATTTGCATATTTAGGAAATTTTTATGAGGGCACTTCCTGAATTACAGCATATATATATCAGTAAAAGGCAGCTGAGGGAAGTAAAGGCTTTGATGAAGACAAGTATTGTGCTTTTAAATCTTGTGAAGATCCTATCTGTGGTAAGACTGTGACTTGGCATGATGGGAGGAAAATAGATGGGATTTTTGTCCCAGGGGTTTTTGCTCTTTAAAGGCTTAGTGAGAATAGTCCATTGTGATACTGGTCTTGAAATGGAATGTCTGTATGCTGCAGTTATCTTTTCCTCTGTAACAGTTCACTTGCATTAGCAAATCTTTCTGTATTCACACTGATACAAAAAGGTGCTGATACAGGAAAACTTAATTTCAGGCTCCAGATATGAAGACTAACAGTGCTGCCAGCAAAGGGTTAATTTGGCTAGAGATTATACCTGGTTTAGTCTGAAAAGGAGGTTCCAAAAAACTGCAAACCCCATAGTCACTCATCATCAACCTATTAATTCTTTTCTTGTGTAACACTGACACTGGCAGAGCAGTTGTATTTGTTTTCCAAGAGACGCTTGCAGATTCTCACATATATATAAGTATCTGGAATTCTGAAACCCTTTGAAATCGTGATGTATATTTTCTTTCTTGTTGATCGTGGATTCTGTGCTCTACCATGGTTTTTAATTTTTGTGTCCTTCCTCAAAATATTTTGTCAACTTTGTCTCTGACTGTGCAGAGAGCATTGCTGTTCAAAGGGAAATGAGAAAAACTTCTCATTAATTTAATGTTGCCAATTTGAATGGCTGAGCTTTCACAGCTCCTCCAGAGCAGAAAAGAAAGGACTGCTGAGGACTGATGGGCTCTATCTCATAAGGAAAAATAAGTGTTTCTTTAAGTTTAAGGAAGACTTTAAACTAGAATTAATGGGGACTGATGACAAAAGAATGTAAGTGTTATCAGTGGAAAAGTGACCAGAGGCATAGTAGCAGTGGGTATAGGGTTTTACAAAAAGGACTGAAGCAATACAGAAAACAGGATAGTGAATCTGTCTGCTTAACACTTAAGATGTCTATACTAGTGCAGGCTGTATGGAAACTAAATGGAAGAATGTACAAGGTTCTATACAAAGGTGTGATTAAGGCAATGTAAATGTTTACGTAGTGGGATATTTCATTTGTTGATGCATTAATCCAGAAAAAAAGTGGAGGTGGCTCCTGAAGGAAAGGGGTGGGAAAATATGTTTCTCTATGAATATTTACCTTTGTATTGAAGTCTAGAATATAGAGACAGATAATCTGTTAAAAGCGTCTTTATGATAATAAAAGGAGAAAAAAGCCTGAGTGCTATTATGTTGAGGACCTACCATTAAGACAACCAAACCAAGCAGGATAAGATGGAAAGAACATTTTTGTAAACTCCTGACAGAATAATTTGCCTTGAGGAGATACTAGTTAACTGAATATTTGTTGGGAAAGATAAATTGAATACAGAGTATCCAGGGTATTTTTGGAGTAGGATGTTGTCATGTTTTGATACAGAAGGTGAAGGTTAATACAAGAATTTTCTTACAAGGTTTTCCAGACTTTTAGAATGGCAAAGAGGAAGAATGGAAAAGAGGAAGAATAGAAAGAAGCAACTAGAAATTCAAAGCTCTGTTTGAAAAATCCTGTGAAAAATAGTCTAGGAAAAAGGTGCTCAGGAGTTTGACAGTTCATAAAAATACATATATTTAAGATATAGTTGCAGGATAGCCTAACAAGGAACAGTGAAAATAAATGTAGTATGTCTTGTAGTCCTCAATGGTTTTCAAGTAGGAATCATAATGGAAATAGCTAGAATTGTCCCTAAAGATGAGTCATCTTGGACTTTTGTGCTTTTTGGGAAGTCCAAAGCACAAAAACGAGAGACAAGGAGGAAGAGCTGTGAAAGATAATAAAATAACCCAAAAGTTCCTTATTGCTTATGCTAGTAAACAGTAAGTCCCTTACTGACATAAGGGAGGACCAAGGAAAATTTTGGTCCATGACCTCCTTGCAGAGAGTAATAAATGATGTCAGTGAAGGTAGAATGTTTACTTAAAACATCAATGGCAACGGGCAGTGAATAAAGCTCAGATTACGACAGGGAAAATGTGATTGATAGCTCTTACGCAAGCTACCTATGTTCAGTGGACTACGCCTACCAGCATTAACACTAAGATCTTCGAGAAATGGCTGAAGCTCTCTGAATTATCAATAAAGTTTAGAAGTCAGTGCAGTCCCATAAGGGTCTAGAAATGGAACTAGCAAAGTAATTTTTAACAAAAAGTCAGCTAAATGAGACCAAAGAATTATAGGGCAATAAGCTTAACCTCAGTTTCCTAGAAGTTCAGAAGTATGTAATCAAACACGGAATATATCAAGGAAATAAGGCAGGGATAAAAAGAGAGAGAGATCATTGCGAACACTGTGTATTACACAAACCTAGTTTCCTTTTTATGACTGGGTAGCAACAGTTAACACTTGTGTGCCTCAAAACAAGGAATCATAGTCTATATTAAATTATTTTTAGGGAAGTACAAAGGTGAGTGGAAAACAGTACTTGGAGAGCAGTTAACAATGAAGTCTATTGCAATTCCTTATTTTCATAATGTGGCGGGGTTAGAGAAGATCCAGAGAAGACTGACTGAAATGATCCTGGAGATGGAAGAGCTGCCTAACAGAGAGAGACTAAAAAGGCTGGGTTCTTCAGCCTGGGGAGCGGAACATGTGCTTGTTGTTGCTCAAATTGCACAATACAGAAGCGTAGGAGGCCTTGAAGGAGCTAGTAGGAGATCTGTTTAGGACAAGAAGTGCTCTTTGTTTTAACCAGCAAGCAGTAAACTTAGGAGGTCAGGGAGTATCAGCTCGTTCAGAAAAGACTTTGTCAAAGTCATGAAGTTTTTCATAGAATAAAATCTAAAGGGAAGAGGCTATTTCCTCTGGCATCTCTCATCCAACTGTAATGTGTGCTTGTAAAGTATGAAAGGTGTAACCTGGAAATAGTAGCCAGGCTGTGCTCTCCCCTATCATTTCCTAAAGTCCCGTCAGAGAAAAAACACTGGGCTGGAGGTACTGCTGGTCTCACCTCGCAGGGCATTCCCTGCCTGTGTAGTTAGGTCCATTGCAGGAGGGTAAAATTTAACAGTCCTGTTGCAGCAAGAGCGATTTAGACTTGTGAAAACCTTTTTAACAATAATAATATGTAATCAGGGAAATGGGTTGCCAAAGAAATTCTGGAACCTCAACTGCTTTTGTGGTTGTAAAAGTAGGTTACGCAACCTGCCAAAACTGTAATTTAAATCTATTGGGTCCTTAGCATAGGTAAAGGAACTAGATGACCTCTGCTTCCCGCCCCCCCAGTATTTGATGATTCAGACTCTGTCCCATCGTATTGTTGTGTCTTAGGGTTCATGTGATACATGAATAATGTTAAATCTGAATGTGGAAATTGTCAGACCTCTCTGTTGTAGTTTAGGCAGGAAGAGTTTTTTGTTTTGCAACCCATCTCTGCCCAGTGGTACTGCGCTAAATGCCATTGGTGTTACTGTGCAGAAGATGAGTCACTTCAATGGACTCTGTAACGTAACTGAGCACATATCGGAATTAACATTCTTTTGTTTCAATGTTTTTCTTGTCTTCTGTGGACTAATCTCTTTCAGCTTTACTAAATGGATAACCAGGCGTTTGAGATGCATGGAGAGAGCATACAAAGCTCTTCAAAAGGAAAAGAGTGGCCAAAGAAAGAGGTACCAGTCATTTTCTTTTACAGTGCTATCAAAACATTATTAACAGAGTCATTCTGAAGATTAAACCCTTATTTTGTAATATGACCTAATCCTGTACTATTAAGAAGGACCTGAAGAAAATAAAAGTTGTAACGGGCTTCAACTGCTAAGGTTCTAAAATGCCTAGCTCCATATGCACTAGCTAGGATCTGAACCGAGAGACATAATTCCCCGGCCCCACTTAAGTTAATAGCTAAATTCTTTATCCTCTAACTGCTGGACAAAGTAATTATCTTTGGAGAATTCCCCATTGATTTTAACAGAAAGAGCTACTTAAAAGCTCATCTTATGGTAATGTTTAGTATCTCTGCTGAGTTACACATTAGAGTACTGTTTCATCTTTTTTTTTTTTTTTTTTTTTTTTGCCCTTGAGAAAAGTAATTCTCTGTAATTTTCCCATTAAAGTTTTTGCTTCTTGGGATTTGAATTCACTTCGTTCAGTAAGAGCTGGCATATCACTCCTAAGCGGTTACGTTTGTTTGCAGTCAGCACAGTGCTGCTTCTTGGCTGTAAATGTACCAAGGCTGGTGATTTCCTCACAACATAACTCACTCCACGCCGTTGTGCTGAGGTTGAATGTTCTGTATTAGTTGTTATTATTATGTAATATGTACAGCATTCTTTTTACTTTAAAAATAATTATTGGATTGGTGCCACTGCTGTGAAAATGCTGTAAATTAAAGGTCCTTCAAATCTGGAAAATGGGGATTTTGAATGCATTTAACTATAAAGCGTTGTTCTCTGATGAGACTCTGTGGTCCGAGTACTACTGTTGTGATATTTAATTGAACACAAGCTTTAAAAAGGGAGTCATTTAAACTGAAGAAAATAGTATTACTGAATAGAATAAGGGTGATATTTTGAGAACTTTTCTGCTGGCAAAAGAAATCTATTTGTAAAGAGCTTTTGTCAAACAGATTGATGAAAAAGGTCGTTTTGTTAAAATCAGCAAGTGGTCTTCAATTTTTTCATTTCTGGTTGCCCAGCTTAAGAACTCAACATTCATAGCTCATTGTCAGGCACACACCACCTGAAAAATCAGGCTTTTAAAGGTAGACCAAGCCGTGCACCCAGAATCAGTAAAGAGTTTTAAGACCTGTTTGGGCCGGAGAATACAGTCTCTATTCATCTGAAGCTGCAGCTTCAGCAGCAAAAATGGCTGAGGCACAGGGAACGCTGAATATCCTCACCGAGGTGATGCTTCATGGGGCCAGAAGCGTCTTGGCCTTCTATGAAGAACTTGTGTGCCTCCGTGTGCCCGGCTGCTCCTCCCCTTCACCTTCCTCCAGAGGCTTGAATGTCCACAAAGGAAATCTTCCCTAACGACTGATGCCCAGAGCAGTTAGCATGGGTGAAACTTCCCCGTTCCTCCCCAGCCCAGGGAGCTGGGCCAGGCGAGAGGTGACGTAAAGCAGAGGCAGCGTCTCTGCCCCAGAGATGAAGGTTTGCCATGAGTTGGTGCTACAGGTCTTCACTGTTCTGTGAGATGGATTAGAAACGGCGATGAAACAATCTTTACGTGTTGGTAAGACCCCAGGATGATAAAGATGAACTTGTTGAAATAATGAAAGGACAGCAAGGATGTCTGCATATATATCTTTCCCTGTTGGGCGGCCGGTAATTTGGCTCTAGCGGTGCTTCTGAAAGGCACGCCGTTTTGATGGCAAAAGAGCTATCACCAACTCTCTCCTGTGTGTTAAATCTCATACTTTTTTGCTTGGGGGGGGCTTTCTATTAATTTCAGGAAAGAAAGGGCAGCCGGTCCCTAATGAAAGTCTTTCTAGTTTGTCTGTTGGCCTGTGTTATCACCACCGCGATAGGAGTGCTGGCCCTGTCCTTGGTCTACGTAAAGAACCCTGCCTTTATGGAAAAGACGGGTGCTAAAGATGATGGCGCATCTTCCCCAAAACCGGACGAAAAAAGTGTGGATATCAAATTCCAGTTCCTGAATCATCTGGGGAAATCAAAGGTAAATTGTTCATCTTGTGCAATAATACTCTAGCACGGTATATAGAAGTTTAATGAATTAATTTCACCTAACTGTTTTTTAAGTACTAGGCGATCAGTCTAAACCTGTTATCCAGGCTTCTTTTATAATCCATGGGGAGAGGCACAAATTTCCTGACAGCATTTCGGTCCGATTCATAACAGATGTTGGAAGAGGTATGGATCTCTGGAGTGCCTCTTGGAAAGCTAAATAATTGCTCCAACAAATTAGGCTTGCAAGACAAGGCCACCATTTTATGCGTGATTCTGAAATTACAGATTATGAAATTCTGAGAAACAAAACCAGAAAGATCAAATTTTCATGTAAGCTGAGTAGCACACTAACCTTTTCGTTCTTAGGACTGGAATCAAACAAATTGCTATGTTGCAAGAAAAAATGAACTCCATGATCTTCTTTCAGCGAGCTAAAATGAGTTAGTTGACAATGCAATGAAGCCCTGGGAATTACTTAGTTTCCGTTTAGGTGTATTTTGATTTGTATAGAAACGTATCCTTTGAACAAACCCTAAAGACATACACCATCTTCTAAATATATCTTTATATAAAAAATAATTCCTGATTAATTTTTGCTTTTCATCAAAAGAGGGAAAAGGACAGATAGGATAGTAGGGCCCTTTAACAACAGCCATTCTGGTACTTTTTCATGTTAGATTTAACTATGTAATTGATTTTCAATTTAAGAATGCAAACAAAAATGTTTAAGAGGAGAGAAACCCTTTTAATATGACCTTCCTCAGTGCGAGATGATTCTTTCAAGTACAAACCAGGTTCTAGAGGCAGTACAAATATTGGGAAAGGAATAGTTTCAGGTGCAAATAGTTTGTAACTGTAGAAATTCGGGAAAATGTCTCACTCAGGAAATGTTTTAAATGTTTTGAATCTAAAAGTTTAGGTGTATCTGTAACTGATTTCCCAAATCAAATTCCAGGATGACATAAAAAAAGGAGGAGCAGGTAATTTTATTCCTGATATCACTATTTATCTCTCATTTGTAGAAACAATACTATTACATCACGACATGAGAAAATATATAAACAATTGTGAAAAGTGACTAAAATACATACAGAGAGAATCCTCCATGAGAAAAGGACTCGGTCCCTTCAGTATTGCCCAGACCAAGAAGTTTCTGAAATATTTTTGGATTGTTTGGGCACCACTGGCCACAATTAATACAGTTCTCCACTCTCACCAACTTTACAGGTACATAACTACCCAGGTGGTGAAATTCAGTGGGCAAGATTCAGGAAGGATGTAAATGAATATCAAAGTGAGGAAGAAATGGAATTTGGAAAAAGTATCAATAACCATCGCTCCAAAATGACCTTTGGGACCTTACGGATCAAAAGCAAAGGGCTTCGGGCTCCCCATTGGCATTTTAATGCCAATGAACACGGCTACCTGCTACAGGTATTACCTGATTATTTCAGCTTTCCCAGCTGGTTTTGCAGTTTAAAGCATCATGTATATATAGAAGATGTACATATGTTAAAAAAAAACCCAAAACATATACATTATGTACAAATGTAAACAGGTAATAAAAGCAAAATTACCACTGATTGATGTATGACATTATTTTTCTTCCTTGAAATAACATTTTCAGATGGAGATGCTTGAAATAGGCTGTTTAATGTTGGTACTTTCAAGAGTACAAAACACCTGTAGCTTTCAATGATGTATAAAAACTGAGGTTACAGAATTTTATGTACTTTTCCAAGTGCTTACAATGCTTAAAGTAATTACATTAGAGAACCATGACAGCATCACAGAGATGAAGGACTGTTAAGGTTCTTAAGCAAGCCTCTGGCTCCGTCCCCTGTACTGATGCACGATAAGAACACCTGAAGCATATCTGACAGCTTTGATCAGTTTTTAAAAATTTTGAAAAAAGGAGTTATTACAAAATCAAAAAATAGTTGTTTGCCATGTTTCATCACACAAGCCATTAGAATGTTTGTGCTGGTACGTAAACCACATTTTTGTTTATCGTAAAAAAACAATCCTTGTTTGTCTCCATTGCCTGTGGAAACCCTCAGATCATTTTTCTTTCTCACAACTTTTTATACATGGAAGACTCTTTTGTTCTTATAAAGTCTTCTCTTTCCTAGACCAAATACCCCTCCCTTTGTCACGTGTTCCTTAAACCTTCTAAAATTCTGTCACTTAAAATGCTATTCTGCATTTAAGTTCACAAAGGCTTGTTAGAGAGTCCGTCAGGTTCTGGTTTTCCCTAACAGCCTTCAGGTTATTTGAATTATTGAGTTGCTGCATATGGCTTAAATGAGAAAACTTTCATTACGATCGTTAAGTTCTGATTATCTTACAGGGTACTGCCTGGATTGGAGTAATTGGTGCAGATGACAGCGTGGTTACCACATACAATGTCACGGCTGGTCAAGTGATCTTCTTCCCTAGAAACACTGTGCATTGGATAAAGAGTGTAGGCTCAGAAGACTGCCTGTTCTTGCTGTTCTTTACAACTCATGAAGAACTTCAGACCTTGGATGTAGATGACGCATTTTTCTCTACCCCAGAGGATATAGCGGCGAGAGCTTTAAAGGTCTGTATGATAGCATAGCCAGCCTCTATCTAGTCTTCTACACATCTCTTCTCTTTAGTCCCATCACTGCGGAAGGATGTACACGTCCTTTGTATAACACTGTGCTGCCCTGTGCGTTCCTTTATACACAAGGAGAAATAAATGATGATGTTCTCTCCAAGAAACTTTTTCTCCTTTTCACATTTATCCCCAGTTCATGGAGGATCCTCCGTATTTCTAAGGGTGGAAGGGAAAATAAAATAGTGAAGCCCAAAGCTAATTTTCCAATAGCCCCTTGAGGAATTCTGTGGTATGAGAAGGTCTCATAGGAAACCACAGATAAGTCCATCTCCTTGTTAAAACGGTTCTTATTTGAGCTGATTAGTTGGCAATGTCCCTTGAGCAAGAATGCAGCCACAGAGTTTCTGCTGAGTTTGAGGAATTTGCATATTCAAACCACAGAATTGTGATAGACCTTCCCGCCCTGAAACAGTTTGACGGGAGACAGATCAAGTTTCCTTTCTGCTCCAGATCTCTGTGGTGACTGAGAAGGAAGGGAGCAAAGGAGCAAAATAGGGCTAGGCAGTTAAAGAGATGAGGTATGTTCACGAGGCAGAATTTGTCTACCGTCAGGTACTAAGGTGAAATATTCAACAGAGCAAAATTTTAATTCCTCAGTTTGCTGTGTCTCTGTCAACTTAATATGCATTATGTGTCCTGCAGCCACGAGGTGGAGTTAACTTCATCAGAACATTCAAGAAACAAGCAGAAGATCAAGCAGTTAACCTCCCACCAAACTTAGATGAGCTTGTACAAAATGCCACCTATGTGCAGTCTCCGGACAGCCTTGTGTGGCAGTACTTCTACAATCTCAAAGGTACACACCTAGGAGCTTTGTGTGCACGAGCTCTCTGCGTTTCTAGAGGGGCAGAGGGGCGGATCTGTAGTCGATTCACCGCAATGGGAGTTAAAAAGCATGTCGAGAAATAATAAGAATTTAAGGAGGTAAAATGAAAAATATATTGGTAATACATCTGATAACTGCCCTTTGAAGATGCATAACCTGATCCTTATCTCAAAGTAGTTTACCCTGTTGATTTTAATGTTTCTATCTGCAACAGTAGAGATGAGGGCAGAATGCCGGTAAGCAGCAGGGCACGAACGAAATACTTCCCAGCTCGAGGTTCTCTATTGATGTATGTAACCAGGGCTGGTATGTTCCCTGCTACGGTTAAGTTAATCAATAACCTAAACCTAAATTTTTAATTCAGAAAGTAAAATCTAATAGGCCAGGAAGCCCTGCAGCAGGTTAGCCGGCGAGTGACTGGTGCTGAACTTCTTAGAATATCTTGCATTTGCATATGAGTGAATAAACACCTTAACATATACCTAATTATGTCCTCCCTTTTCTTTTAAAAATACAACTTCATAAACAGCATTGAACCATATTCACTCTTTGTTTTATCAACGGTCGTATTAAACAACCTTCTGTACAGCCTGGATCTAGTGATTATTAGTGAGGACCTAATAAACATAGATGGCAAAACTTAATTCCAAGTAGTATAGTCTCTTCAGAAAGATATAAAAAGCAAATATAGATCCAGAGCTCCACACACAGCTGGTGGAGGTCGTAAGAAATAGATGTGTGACAAAAATCTTTGCACTTGGAGTAAAATGTTTTTTCTGCATTGGCAATACTTTACAAAGTATTGTGACACACAATCCGTGCCATAAAGGTTAACATGAAGTAATATACTGAAAGTTAGCATGTTCTTTAAGTGTATTGTTGTTGATAGCGATTTGGGGTGGAAAAAATCTAGTCGGAGTCTTTTATTATGATTATCAGACTACAGAAAAATAGGGTAAGGGAGATTGCGTAGCTGCATAGGAGATGGATTTAGCTTATCTATCCTTCATGCCGCATGAAGGACAGGTAAGTTAAATGGGCTTTCTTTTTGGTTCCAGAGGCTCATAAGATTTCAGGCCTCACGTTTCGTAGGTAGTAATGACTTGAAGTTGGCCAATACACCAGCAGGCAATGTTAACCAGACCTTGTTGGAAATGCTCATTTAGCCGTCTCTGTTTTAGGGTCAGCAGAATATCCTTTCCCAGGAGGAATCTTCCAGTGGGCTCGCTACCGCATAAATGGCACTGGACTAAATGAAACGGAAAAAATTTTTAGTGAGTCGCTGCACAAGGTATGTGCTTTCGAGGGGATAGTGTAGCTATTTCAGCATAAGGCATAGTATGCAATTTGTGTGGGTTCATCGCTGCTTTGTCATGTATAACAGGGATATAACAAAGTTCGATGGTTTTCTGAACATTCTTGTTCTGCTTTTCAGCACGAGAATACCCTTACCTTAGCAACTCTCAGGATACTCAGCAACGGACTGGGGCAGCCTCATTTCCACTTCAATGCTAATGAGATGGGTTATGTCATTAGCGGCTGTGGACAGGTAATTGTTACATGGGTGACGGATAAGTCAGTGGAGTTTTGGCTTTATAACAATTACAGACCTAATAAGTGATCCCCAGCCCTGATTAATACTACTACAATTAGTAGTATTACAAAACTTTCAGTGTCCACACTTTCCTTCTCCATACAAAATTTTGATCTCGGTTACGTTTGTGGAAGCTTGTCTAGTCGAAGTGGAGTTATACAAAGGGCAGAATTTGTCCATCTTGTTAAGAAGTTCACATGCTTATGACAGGAATCCCCACTCTCCTGAATGCTGGGAGCACAAAATAAAAAAGCAATACTTTTGTCTTAGCACCTCTGAGGAACAGATAAATAGAGAAAAAGTAGTGAGCACTAAGATTTAGAGTACAGGATTTTACTGTATGTATTTCACCCAGTGCAAATTTGAAGTGCAAAGATAATTGAGGTGGAATGATGAGACTCCATAAGGTAAGGACTTACCATGTTCTTACTCAGGAATTTGCCTCTACCTTTTTGGGGTCTCAGTGAAAGCACTGATGCTACACTAGCTGATTTCAGTGCCATGCCAGGACTGTTGCTGTGTATTTATCCAATAGCAGCACCCTGAAAATTGCTGTTGTTGAATATTGCTGCTTTACTTGCAATAGGTTGGAGTTATTCTCTCCTCTGGAGTCACCGCCAACTTCAACATTGGCATTGAAGATGTCATATTTTTCCCTGTTGGAACCCAGCATTATATCAAGAGCGTATGTGATGAAGATTTGTTTTTGATTCTAGCCTACAGTACAGGAAATCAGGTGAGAATTCATAAAAAAAAGTTCAACTGTACATGATTTTATGCTTTTCTCATGCACATAAGCTTTATGCTTTGGTGCACACCTTTCAAAAGGAATTCTAATAATAATGTCAAGTACACCAACTGCAAATTCCCTTCTGGTGTGGAGGGTTGGCATGCAACACCTATCAAAACTCTGTACACGGAAACAGAAGGTGGGGAAGGCAAAGAAGAGGTCTGTGGTAGGGTGTGACGTGCTCGTGTGTGTGTGCGCGCGCGTATACGTATGTGTGCGTGAGAGAGATGGAATTCAGATCGTGTTTGTGCATGAGGTACTGACGGAGCTTGTCCTTGGGCTGGCTGGACAGGCTGCGGATCGTTACAGGCTGAGCACACGCGAAAGGGAGGGATTGTCGTAAGCCTTGAATGAGTCTATATCCTAGGAGCCTGATCAAGGGTGGGTTTATCTAAGGTTACACATATCCAGCAATCTTGATAGCCCAGGGTAGGACCTGTCATCTCTTACATACGTTCATATTAATTCATTTTCCTCTTGGATTTGAGGTGCGCTTTAATATTCCACATCATTAATACTGTAAAAATGATCAGGTAGCTCTGATTATTCTTTTTAAAATACTGTCTTTTTCTTCACAGCTGGAAACTCTTCGTATGAATGACTACTTCCATGGAACAGCAGATCATATCCTTGCTCAGCTTTTTTTCAAGAACCAGGCTGAGTTTAAGAAGTTTCCAAAGGCTGCCAAAAAATTAGGAAAATAACCTCTCTCAGCAGTTAATGGGTCCAAGAATTTTTTGACAATCACCGTGTTTCTAGCAGTACTTTTTGGTACCTTTCTTGATGTTTATCCAGAGGAGATGTTCAGAAAACAGAAGAATTAGAGGTTATTATAAAGATCTATTTTCTTTTTGTATTTTTGTTATGTTTTATTTATAGTGCAATGTAATTTGATTGTATATTAAAGTAATTTCTACCGTTACAAGTGCCTTTTGCTCCGCACAACATCCATTATCCCACTGGATAGAAGTGGGATAGAAGTCTGACTTCCCTCACACTACTGAAGCGTACGTTGATTTTCTGTCGTGCAGGCAGCCTCCTGCCCAGCAGCGCCTGTACGCAAATGCAGCGCCTCGACGCAGCTCGGTCTGGCCCCAAAGCAGGTATGGTGTTACAAGCCCTGCATCCCACAGTGATGGCAGGAATGAGCTCGTCATACCCTCAGCTCATACTCACTCTCCCTGCCCTACCTGCAGTCCCGGCAGCGAGGCGCCGTGTTAGAATTTAAGACAGGCAACTCCTTTTCCTGAGTTTTGCCACCAACCTGCTACCTGGTTTTGAACGAAACCTCTGAGGCTAGATTCTCAGCAGGCTGCAGACCAGGGAGCGGAGAAGCTCCGCGTTAGGCACCTGTGCTGCCCATGCAAAAGCTGGGGAGAGAGAAGCCCCAAAAAACTGGACCAAAAAGAAGCAAAGATGATTTCCCAGGCTGGCATCTATGCCGCTTTTTTGTGACCTTCAGGTTCCCAGTCCTTCTTGTGTAAATATTTAATTACAGCCAAGAGGATGGCTGCAACAGGGAGGCAAAGAGGTTCGAGACCTTTCTCTGTTTCCCATGGGTTAGGGCTTTTTATTTTTTTTTGTCTCAGGAAATACTTGCTTAGTTCATGGGGTTTAAATCAAATCAAGATCAAAGTGGTTTACCGATTTATTATCAGCACATAATAAACAAAGATTCAGTGAAATACACAGTTGGCATTCAATTTCATTTCTTATCAAGGCTCTTGGTAATTCCCGGCTACGCTTTAATCCTGCT